GGTACATTACGTAGTCCCTTCTTAAATGGTTCACTGATCCCGCTCCACTTGGGATCCCTTCTTCCTTTATTAATTAACCAATCAGTGGTTGATCTTGGGTCGTACAATAGATTATGCACGCCTTCATTTCCACTTCCTTTCGGACTCAGTCCCGAATTTGCTAATCGGGAAAGTGTCGGAAGTTGGGAGCCTTTACTATTGGTCACCTCTCCCTTTCCTGGAATCTGGCTAGATGAAGGGTCCTCTCGGGCGTGGTCGTTTTTCCGATGCGATCAACTAGATGCGGCGCACTTGGAAAAATGCAAGCATTGTCCCAAAGGCCGAGTCCGCACGCACGCCTGTTGCTTATTGTCGCACGTGCAGAGTTTTGGATTGCAGTGAATTTTCAGGAAATGTTTGTACTCGTTAGTTTACGTATATTCGACACTCAGTCAGAATCAACGTCTTCTTGGCTGTAAACACATCAATTTTACCGTACCGGGAAAATATGAGCACGCTTGAAAATAGGCAAGAGTAAATAAGCAAATTATTCACTGGAAATATTTCAGATGTTTTATTGTATTAAAAAAGGTCTCTCATTCTCAAACAGGAGTGATTAATTATTTATTGATCAAATATTTCTTTATAACTTTCACTTTTTTATAATAGTGATTATAATGTTTTACATTAAGAATAATAATCAATTGTTATTATTATAAAAGAAGTCCAAATAGTTCAGAATAAACAATCCTATGTCAATATAACAGAACAAAATAAAAATTTTATAAAAATAAAATTATACAAAAGGTGTCATTAAAAGGGATACTTCGGTTAAGCTTATTGATTCGAAATAATCTTTCTTTATTTATAAGAGGAATAGTAAAGAAATTTAGAATCATTGTATTTTTAATTTTATTAAATGTTTATTTATTTTACCTTTTCATGTATACAAATACAATAATAATTATATAAAAATTACTATCATATTCAAACGTATGATATTGTAGTGAATAAACTAAATTTTAAATATAAATTGTTGCTTATATATCTTAAATTGGCAAAAGATTTAATTTAATGTTACTAACAATTATGTAGATAAAAAACATAAGAATAGAAAAAATCAAGAAAAGTTAAAATACAAGTATAAATAACTTATTAAATAATGTAAGTTCTTTGCTTTGCCAGATATTCCTTTTCATTTCACCTGATATGATCATAAACTTCTTAAAACGATCTGATTTGATCATATACTGTATACATATACATATACCGTTAAATTCATCAATTTTCATTACCAAACATAAAACCTTTTTTATTTATTTCAAATAAATATTTAGTAATTCTTTATTATTTAAATTGTAGCAAAATCTTCAATGTATGGGCATTATTTCATATATATTTGTGTTCGGGATTGTAGTAGTTTTCAAGAATTGAAATTGGGAAAAGTACAAACTCCCGGACTCCCTTCGGGGTGTGGTCGATTTATGTGTTAAAGACGACAGAGACATTGATATGATCTCCCTGATGAGCATAATTAATTCTCCTTATTAAGTACTGCTAACTGCTATTACCATCTTCCCATGCTCATCTGATCGGCATGGTCGACTGCTTATGCTGATCTTTCAACATCAGCATAAACCCAACATTCAACATCTATTGCTAACATCAATAACAGCAATGACATCGTCACCACTACAAGAAAGCAACCTCACCTTTACCATAGAATCATTCCCTCTTTCCCACCTGAAGTAATCATAGAGCTACAATATTGTAATTATTAATAAACCAGAATAAACGATGTCTTAATCAAGAGTATACATTGTTGATCGAGATCGAAGCCAGTTACAAAACCGCCGATTGTCGGCATCGCCGGCCTTTTAGATCTCAGATTTCTGTAAACACTTGGGCGAGAATTTTTCGTATACTTGTTATGTTTTGGTTTCAAATGGCCCGTAATGTTTATATGGTCTTCGAGTAATAACATCGCCCGGAAGTTTCTATCGGTATTACGCCCTACCTTTTCTTTCGTCGAATTCTCGAAAGTTCTAGATTTTTCTTTCTACGCCTCGTGTAAGATTCCAGTGCAACACCGACGATGCTTTGTTGCCAGCTAAGTGAGCCGCCGCGTGGATATATAAGACAAGCACGCGGCGTGCCTCGCTCTCTTGCTAAACATCTCTTGTCGAACCACCCTCGCTGAAGTGTGCTTGCGGCTAACATCTTGCCGTGACCCGACCATAGTGAACCGATCTAACCATCTACCAGTAGAAGCCATGGAACGGTCGATATTTTCAGCAGAGCCGCGACGGAACGATCAAGCCTTCAGCTTCGTGTGCGTATTCAAAAGGCTTATAGGCTCATTGTAATTCTACCTCCCGCTCACTTAACTGTAATTACCGCTCAGTGTTATAATATATTGTAACGACAATACGTGGCCACATATTCGGCAGCCTACTTAAAAATACACGTGGATTATCAAAAGGAAATCAGCAAGATTAGGTAGTGATTTACAATAAAGCCAGTTGGAATCGTAATCAAAGGGGACACATTAGCTACGCAGTAAATCAACACACCTTGTCGGCAGTTTACAAGGTACATCTCTTTATATTATCAATTAAGCTAGTCACATACGCGCAAACAGTACGCTCTCTCGAACTAACACTTCGAACACCGTACATCCTTTAAAGAGTCTATAAGTACGCTCTCTCGAACTAATACTTTGAACACCGTACAGCCCCTCAAACATTCGACACAGGTGACGCAATACGTCAATTACGTTGTCAAGGTCAGACAACAATTTATCGAATAATCCACTATAAATACATTTTTATCAAGTGCTTCAAAACTCGAAGACTTGTTATTCATGACTCTTGCATGTGACTAGTCTTTTCTACTGTTCCCATTATAAATAAAGACAAAATTGATTACGCACCAATTTCCATCAAAAGATCTTACACTCTATCAAGTATATTTCATCTATTATATAGTTATTTCATCTATCAAGCATACTTGGTTCAAACATGTTAAGTTTAACATTCAAAAATGCTACCTCATGAGCATGATCGATTACACAGGCTGATATTTACAATATCAGCATAACCTCAACTTTCAAGATACACAGTAATATCCATAGAATCTACAATAATCAAGAACATAAAGAAACACCCTCATTACTACAATAGAATAATCTCTCTCTCAACAATAGTGCAATATTATTATAATACTTAACAAATAATAAACATTGTTTTTACTAAAAATACATAATACATAATATTTTTCAGCCCTTCAACTTATTATTTCCTCTTAAGTTATCATGACGAGAGACTAATCGACTGAACTATTGAATTGGCAGTTCGAGCCATAAAACAAACCCTTAAAATCGAACAATTGTACATATTTACAGCCCTTCTACCTGTGTTTTTTTTCTACTAATCGGTATGGCGAGAGACTAATCCACTGAACTATTGAATTGGCAGTTCGAGCCATAAAACAAACCCTTAAAATCGAACAATTGTACATATTTACAGCCCTTCTACCTGTGTTTTTTTTCTACTAATCGGTATGGCGAGAGACTAATCCACTGAACTATTGAATTGGCAGTTCGAGCCATAAAAAATACCTTAAAATCGAACAATTGTACATATTTACAACTCTTCCACCTATGTTTTTTTCCTACTGATCGCTTCGGTGACAGACTAATCCACTAAACTATTGAATTGTCAGTTTGAGCCACAAAACAAACCCTCAAAATCGAACAATTTGAATGAAACAAAATGTATAGTCTACTTATATTGATACTGTTACGGATTGAGACAGTTGAAAGCGGAATACAAAGTGGGAGAGGTATGAGCGCGCGAACATTTGTTTACAAACACTAGCCAACGAACTCGAAAAATTCTTCTACACAGAAACTCGAATGTACGACTATAATATCGAAAAGTAATAACAATGAACCCTACAAGGCTATGCCCTATTGACGTCACGACAAATATCGGCATAGCAACAGCCATCGATGGGCTATCGGCGCCGCAAGTACGTACGAGAATATTTAAGGAGCTGCACTTGCGGCGCTTTTCTCTCATACTAGGTCGACCGTGTACTCTTCATGACAGACTCGCCCTGCGACTACAACGGCTCCAGATAACTCACGTAAGCTAAGATCAGACGCTCGTTCCTTACGACTACGACTACAACGGCTCCAGTCAATTCAAGTAAGCTACGCACCACGCTCGATCCTTACGATTACGACTCCAACGGCTCCTGTTAACTACGTAAGCAACAACGCACGACGGACGTGCACCACTACCACAACCACATCGGATCTCACGAAAACCTACGCAACGACACATCACGAACGGCACTCACCGCTACAGGTGTAGGAGCGGTCCTCACGCTCACTGACGCAACATGGACATTCTCCCACCACTTCGACCACTACGGCGCTCACTCCACGCCGGCGGCGAGGGGCGGCGCTAACTCGCTGCCCCCTTCAATGCAAGTCTCCCACCACCGCAACTCATAGTGTCTCTCACTACAGCAACGCATTGTATGAGGAGAAAGGGAATTACGCTTCAAGCTACCAAGAATACACTTGCACTCTCCTCATCACATAACCAACATACGAAATCTCCTTATTTACTCACTTTCACCTTCATTCATACTCCTTACAAATCATGATGAATATGAAAATGTAAATTCAATGTATATTTATAGAAAAATATAAAACTTCAATATATTTATATTATAGAAAAATATAAAACTTCAATATATTTATATTATAGAAAAATATAAAACTTCAATATATTTATATTATAGAAAAATATAAAACTTCAATATATTTATATTATAGAAAAATAAAAAAAATTATTATTCGGTTAGAATAAAATTTTTCGATATTTTTTATTATTACGTAAATATTTATTTTTGTACAAATAAAAACAATAAAAATTAGTTTCTAAAAGAATTTTACACATATATGATTGACTAAATAAATAATTTTGGTTTTATCCTTAAATTGGTTTTACTAATTTCAATTATGCAGTTTATAAAGTTTTCCTATTTCTATAAATTTTTTTTGTTGCAGTTGATGATCTTATATTGTTTAATTTTTATTTTTTAATGAAATGTATTGCTTTAAATTAGATTGTCATTTATAATTAACAACTTTAAAGGTAAATCCATTAATTATTAGTATTAAAAATGTTTCCAATATAAAAATAACATTGAAGATAAATAATAAAAAATTATAATATAATTAACAAAATATATATTGGTTCGGATTTGAGTGTTTGTTTTGTGGCTCGAACTGCCAATTGAATAGTTCAGTGGATTAGCCTCTTGCCGTTGCGATTAGTAGGAAAAAACACAGGTAGATGCGCTGTAAACATGTACAATGAATACTCTTGATTAAGACATCGTTTATTCTGGATATTAATTACTATAGTATTGCAGTTTTGTTGGTTGCTTTAAGTAAGAGAGAGAGAGAAAGAGAGAGAGAGAGAAAGGTGTTCTATTACAGTTATGAGGGTGCTTCTTTGTGTCCTTGGTTGTCGTTGATAGTATGAAAATTACTGTGTATGTTATGTATACATACTGTGTATGTATTAAATCTATGCTGAGTTTTAAGATCAACATGAGAAATGAACCATGCTCATTAATGAGCATGTGAAGATGGTGAGGGTAATGCTAATGGTAATAGTAATCAATAAAAAAGAAAAGTAAGCATACTTAGAAGGATAAATACTGTGGTCTCTGAGGTAGTGGTTAAGTAAACCGACCATACTCCGAAGGCAGTATAGGAATATTAATGTTTATAACAATTATGTTTATAATCCATCATAAACATTAATTTATTTATTCGAAACTTAGTGACGTAATTCTTGGCTTGAACTGCCAATACTTCAATAGCTTAGTTTGCCACCCGCTCTAGCAGTCGTCGGGGATGGAGATAGGTGGAAGGACTTGTACAAGAGTCGTGAGAGTTGATTAATTATACATTTATTATACAATTTATTTCACAATTTATATATGGATGTTCTAGAATCTTCTTGAATCTAATGTGAAGATACGATTTCTTGAACGGTTTCTTGTATGGGATGTTTCACTACAGAAGATGCTCTTGAAATTGTTTAATGGATGTTGAATTGAATGATTGCAAAGACAAATAATTACTGCACACTCCTTGTCAGAGAGTGTGAGATAATGTTAATGGTCGTGTTGTGCCGGTTTTGCCGCCGGCTGGCAATAATTGAGTAGATATCACATATTTGTGTACTCACAGCGATATCCTAGTCTTGATCTGATCCAGGGGTGAGTGGGTCACCAGGGCTCGCGGTAACGCAAATGTGTGCAGGATGATCCTTATACTCACAGGGGTACAGTAATCTTGATGTGATCCAGAGGTGAGTGGATCACCAGGGCAGGCGGCAAAGCAAGTCCGTACAGGATGAACTTTACACTCACAGGGATACAGTATTCTTGGTCTGGTCAGTGGATTATCGCAATATACTTGTTTTTAATTTATTAATACGTACTACTACGTTGCGTTCTCTTCAGACTTGGCTTCTGTAGGCGAATAGTCCCTTTTACTTGACTTTTCCTTCGAGACAGCGTTCCTCTCCTGTTTGTCCCCACCTTTAAGGCCTCTTGCCATGAGTTCCCATTCAAGGAGCTTCTGGTTTTAGTTTTCCAATCAGATCGCGCGGCTTTTCGGCGTTATGCTAATGTACACGCCTTTTTCCCACTTCCGAGGAAATTAGGCATGGACAATGAGAATGTCGGAAGATCATCGCTGGCGGCAACACCTAAAGTGAGTGGAAGATTTGCCCCTCTCCGGGACTCATCGTGGTGGGGGTTGATTCTTGGTCAAGCGTTTTCGCCTAGCCGATGCAAGCGGCAACATTTGGCGTACTTGACAACAATGTATGATATTCTGGTAATATTGTAGGCATACGTGCGACGCAGATTGTCGGGTGTCGTACGTGCCGCGTTTTGGGTTGCAATGAATTTCAAGAAATGTTTTTCACTCAATTGTTTTCAAATATTTTAATCCTCAAAGTATACTCGTATAAACAGTCTAGTCGGGTTTTGATGTTAAAACGCAAGGGTCGTTTATTGCATTCAAAATATTTTCTACGTCTGTAGTACGAAGAGCAATAAAGTGGCTGTTTACGAGTGTTCCAGATGTACAAGCTTTCGAGTCTCCAGCAACCTTAGCGAGACTTTCTTAGATTTTATGTCTGTTCGATAATTCTTTTTTATAATAGCCGTTGAAAATTTCCCAATGAATATAGTTCGAGAGATTTTCTTTTCACTCTCAAACATTACTTATCTTAGTAAATTAGTACAGCAAGTAAGATAAGTAAGGTATTATCTTAATTTTGTACAATAATTTTTTTAAGATACCGAAATTCTCGTTAAATTCTTATTCAACGAAACATAATACAAAATTAATACATTATTATAAACATAATATTATGTACAATAAAAATGAAGAACTCGATCGAAGAGTGATACCTGTATCAAAACCTTATTGAAATTCCAAAATTACATGTTATAAAAGAGTGAAAGGAAGATGAATTAAAACTACTTACCAATTCAGAAGGCATTGTATTGCAAGATCTTAGAGGTAAACTATAAGTAATTGGAGCTGGCTGATTTCTATACTCGTACAAACACGAACTATTCTTTGATAAACCTCTAGGATAGACGAGGCCATGGAAATTAATATTACCTTCAGTCGATATATGCACTATTATAAATTCACTGGCACATTCGATTTGTACAGTACTCGCTATTGCTAATAATGCTAAAAATAAAAAATATGCAAATTATGTGTTTTAGTAGGTACGGTAATTTATAGTTATTTATCATCGAGCTTATCTTATTACATAACAAATAAATAAATTATGAGATAAAAAATATAACTGTCATTGTTCGAAAATGAGGGTTTTGTTTTGTGGCTCGAACTGCCAATTCAATAGATCAGTGGATTGGTCTTTCACCGTAGCGATAAGGAGGAAAAACGTACAAGTGGAAGGGCTGAAAATATTATGTAATATATATTTTGATTGAAGATATTGTTTATTCTGGTTTATTAATAATTATACTATTGCAGTGATATGGTTGCTTCAAATAAGAGAAAGAAAAGAATATTCTATTGCAGTGGCGAGGGTGCTTCTTTAAAGTGATGGCGATGTCGTTAATGTTATGGAGATTACTGTGGATGTTGAATATTGAGTCTATTCTGATGTTGCAAAGATCAGCATGAGCGGTCGATCATGCTCGTCAATGAGCATGGGAAGATGGTAATGGTAATCAATAGTGCTTAGTAGGGAAAATCTTATAATTTGAATATATAATAATAGTATTAATCAAAGTATATTTGTACAAAATGTATTCGCCGTTCCGGCTTGTTTTACCAAGGCCGGTTCGACGAATACAAATTGATGCCGTAGCTAACTCAGAGACCACGGGTATTGTGTGGCAGCGATGAAAGGTCACAAGTGGAAGGGATATTATAATAATACAATATAAATATGGCTGAAGTATTTACTTTTTTATTCTGTTATTTATTGTTGACAAGGTTGACTATTATTAATTATAGATCAACTCTTGGGTTGAATTAATGTGTTAAAACGTACAGTAATCTATGCAGCTTAATTGTTGAATACGAATGTCGAATGGCGCGAAGTTTCGTTCGTCTACACTAGCGCTGTGTGTTGCTTAATTTGATAAGCTTCTGAACTTGAACTAAGGTGAGGGTTGCCGAAAGGAACGAACTTTTTGCGGGCGCGAACTTGACGACGCGTACTGGAATTTATTCCGCACTGTCGTTCTAGGAGGAGCTTCTTTGCCCTTAGTTGCTTGTCGATGTAATATTCTGAATCTCAATATATGTCATTATTGTAGTAATAATACTACTTACAAAGACTAATCGTTGACTCGTCTCCGGACTCTGATGTGCGGATTGTCGTCACTCCATTTAAATATGTAAAGACGGTTTCTTGAACTGCGTTAGTGGACATACGGGTTTATATCGTCGTTCTTCTGGGACGTGTAACTACTGTTGCTTGAACGTGTTAATGGACAATCCTGAAAAGTGGAAGTCGTCGTTCCCTTTGAACATGTAACGACGGTTCTTGATCCGCGTTAACGGACATACGATGTATGTCGTCGTTCCTCCAGAACTTGTAACTACTGTTCCCGTAACAGCGGTAATGGACTTTCACTAGACACTTAACTCAGTATGAACTATATCAACAGTATACTATATCGAGGGCGTACTATCAAGAGTTATCTCGAGCAGTATATTAAGAGTACTATTAAGAGTGCAATCTCAAGAGTGGAATATCAAGAGTAATGAGTATTGAAAATGCGCCCCTTAAATACATTTGCTGACCATAAATTTGACTTGAACCCCTACCCTTATATTTCGTCCAATCAGACTCCTCCCTTATAGTGCGAGAGCAGCGCCGCTTGTGGCTTTAGAGCTAATTAAGGGCCTAGTCGTCTCTTGATCTTCATGGCAAGAAGACCTCTCGTTGCTGCTGCCGCATGCGACAGCAAGACAGTTTGTGGTCTGCGGAAAGGGGGCATTGAAGGTTCGATCGCATTAATGCCTGAAGTAATTACCGAAGCGAATTCTTACAGATGTCTAACTATGGTTTTTCCCGTGTTTATTTTATTGTTTTTCCAGATGTTTTATGATACTAGTGCTAGATAATTGCGAGCAAGAAAGTTTTGAACTCTAAATATACAAATTTTAGGATGTTGCTTGCAGATGTTTTATTGCATCGAAAAGGTCTCGCATTCTCGAACAATATTCTTAAGGTACAGAATAAATTACAAATGAAAAAATTTAATAATAAAGACGATAATCCGAAGCAAGAAAAATTCTTTAATTTATAAAATTTATTTCAACTTTTTAGAAAGAACAGTCACGAATAGAATATCGGTAATATAATAAGTAAAAATATCTCAATCAATACATAATGTAATCCTTTAATATTTTGCCATGATTAGCAATTCTATTCTATTCGTGCTTTTTTATTGATATATTTTAATGTTTAAAAATATCTTATTCAATTTTTTCTCAAATATTACAAAATATTTACTACAATAGTGATATTCTCAAAGCTTATACATAAATAATGCAGATATATTATCATCTATTAATGGTTTGTTATTAAAAATACATATAAAATTAATATTTAACAGTCAAATAATATTATATACACTAAGCATGCTTAGTAATTAGCTTATTACACAAGAACTTCAAACTCATGTATAAGATATAAGATAATAACATTAATCCAGAATTATTTTACAAGACCAATGAGTTTAGAAAACTGACTGCGAAGTATGTAAAGTTAGATGTACAATCAGATTTTATAGTCGTGAAAGAAGAAAAACGCACGAGAAATAATTTCTAATTTTTAAGTCTATCTTGATATTATTGTCTAGTGCATATTTACCACGTAATAACTAGTATGTTCGCATGAAATTAAGTACTGTAATTTACAAACTTTATCGCATTTATTAAATATATTTTTATTTTAAAGAAAATTACTGATATTATACATAAAAATAATAAAGTTTTAAACTTGGAATTAAATTACAAAATATTTGTTCTATATAAAGCTTTTTTCTCGTGAAAAAATTTTTTTTTGTTTAAATTTAGCTAAAAATTACTTCAACGAAAAATAATATTTATGCTATTTAATACTCCCGTTATTCAATCATTATTAAAATCTTTTTTTTTTCATTGTCCCGAGATTAAATTATGGATTATTAACTAAGTTTCGCATCAAAAAGATATAACTAAAAATTCTATTTTTGAAGATGAATAATTTTATTTCTTACTTAAATAAAACTATTTAAATGAGCAGGAAAGATGGAAAATAATTATAAATATGAAAAAATCTAATGAATTATGTGCTTAACTATAAAATACCATACTTACATGGAGATTCTTGTGGTATTTGTGCTGCTTCTGCAAGGCTATACCTTGCTACTGTCATCTAAAATTAAAAGTTAATTAATCTATATATTACTTGGATATTTTGGATAATATATATTGAAATATGAATTTTTTACGACATATATAAAACGTAAATAATTTTTTTGTACCTTTAAATTTATAAATAATTAAACAATTTTTGTTCGGTTGTTTTTTAAGATGTTGTTCTAAAGTATTTATAATAGTCGTGCTTCTGGCTATAGAAATAAGATAGTTTTCTCATATTACCTGCCTGGTATTAAAGTTAGTAAAAAAATCCGATATTTTGCCATACATGACATTGAAATGATTAATCCCTCAGCTTCTTCTATATAATAAATCGAGAATATTAATAATGATCTTATTTCGTCAAATTAGTGTTCAAAGGTAAAATCGTATTTAAAGCATATTTATATCCTTAATGCGTTGTATACTTCTTTGATTACGTAGCTCTTCGATAAAATTCTATAACATTTTTACATTTACTATTTCATTATTATTGTCTGAGATCAGACTAAAAACCTCCTTAGATGTTGGGTGGAGGTGTTGCTGGTAAGTGGAAGGAGCAATGCAATTATTCAATACTACATGCAGTGTTTCCTTTCTTTCCTTTATTAAATATAATAATGTAATAAATAGTTATTAATCATAAAGTGTGTAAACAAAGGTGTGAGCGAATAATTAGAGGAAGTTTCTTCAATAGTGTTACGTGCTGACGGGAGTATATGTACTCTCCGTGATGTTTGGAGTGACTCCTTCCCTTCCGAGAAGTGCCGCTGTAATAGTATGCGTGTGAGCCGCCACTGTTGTACCGCTGCTACCTAAGTGAGACTGGGTGGCTCCTGCTTTTGTGTCGGTGCGTAAGAACTGCTGCTGTTGTACCAAAGCTTTCTAAAGGGAGACCGTTTTGCTGCTCCCTTAAGTTCCGTGTAATCCGTTAACATATGTAGTATGATTCGATAGTTTCACTCTTGATTAAGTTAACACTATCGCGTTATTCGTTAAGTTTGATTAGCGGATTCTGAAATGTGCTTCACTATTGTAGTCAAATTGTTTACTGGTTGAGCAATTACGTACGTGTATACCTACAGTGAGTGATGACTGTAGAAAGAAGCTTGAAGACAGAATAGTGAGCTGCTGTGTTACTGCGTAATCGTTATTACGCTAAGCTGAGATAAAGACTGACTGGCGCGTGGCACGCGCAGTCCTTAAGTATTCTCGTAGTAATTTTTAGGGCACCGGTGGCGATGTTACTATGTCGGTATTTGTCGTGACGTCAATAATCATAGTTTTTGTGAGTTTCATTGTTATAATTCTTCGAAATTCTAGTCCTATATTCGGGTTTTCGGTGTAGAACTATTACTCGAGTTCGTTGACTAGTGTTTATAAACAATCGTTCGCGCGCTTATACCTCTCCCACTTTTGTCTTCCGCTTTCATCTGTTCAATCCGTAACAATTATCGAACTCAAAATTTAGATCCATCCAATGTTGATAAAATTACCATAAATGATATGAGTCTCTACGAGTAAAATATAATATACATTCGTAATCCTTTGCTATTACTAAATTTTTCTTAAAATAGACTGAATCAGGTGAGCAGAAAGCTTGAAGTTTGAAAAGATTTTTAATTTGATAATGTTTTAAAGAGAATCTATTACTTTTTCAAACTATATCAACATACTGAAATGCCTTTACTTCAGGAAATAAAAGTAGACAAAAATATGAAATAAATTCATATTAATCGTTTTGGAGTAAGCGTAAGTTTCGATTCACTGCGTCGCATATTTACATCGACATTTCTTTTTGTTAAGGATATCTAGATATCTAGTTATTAGTTCCATAATTTGATTAAAAATATAAATCATTAAGCGTCTTTTATGTTATCTATAATTTTGTTATATATACCGCAGGCTCCGCTGAAATAGTTTTATTTTTTTAGATTAAAAGTTTCTAAAATCATTCAAATTAACAATTCTAATCTCGAAAATGATTGAAGTTCTATTTTACTTATTGTTTAGATAACAAACTTATTGTTAAAAATAAATAACTCAAAGTAAAAAAATCAGAATCACTAAATTATGAAGTTTTTATTTTGATCGTAATATTATATATATATACTTCATTATTGTTTTTGATTGTACGCCTAAATTTTTTTAAATATTTTATTAACAAAATTGAATTATTTAAAATTTTATATTTTCTAATTTAAAAATAAGAATTATTAAATGGAGTACATTTAATTAACCACGCGTATCAAATGATTCAAAGAAGAATCGAATACGTAAGGCTAGTTTGAAACCTTTAGTATAACAATAATTAGTTTAAATATAATTAAATTTATTGTTATTTATGAATATAAAAGACTTAATATGTTTTGTTTCATTTCTCTAACGACTAGAATTATAATATAATTACAGAACCCACTACAAATTTACTTCACTAAATACTAACAATATTTAATAACTTTTGATATAAAGAATAAATCCTCGTTTATTTTTCGAAGAAGCTTTTAATTATTTTTTTATTTTATAACATTTGTTTTTAAAGTATTCCTACAATACGATGTATAATAAATAATTCAGATTTTTCAATGTCCCTATGTGTTCGAAAGCACGGACATCGGCTCGAAGGACCAAATGTTCTAAAGTTTAGTTTGTGGCTCGAACTGCCAAATTCAATAGTTCAGTTTATTAGTCTCTCGTCGTAGCGATGCTTAGGAAAGAATACCTATGTCCTGAGCAGTCTAGGGAAAGGTCAAGTAATAGAAATTAATTGCCCAAGGAAATCAAGCCTAAAAATTCACTCAACGCAGAAATAAGTGCTAGTAATTCAAGGCAAGAATAGTGCATGCTGGTGAGTATAAGAGTCACAATTCAACTCGTCAGCCAAACGTGTAATAATCAACTTAGAACAATAAAACCCACTAGATGTTATGTGGGGTTGCCGGGCAAGTAAAGGGTGAATGCACTGATTAATAATTAACACAAGTCTTTAGTATTTCTATTTATTTAAATTGAATTACAAAGGTGAATTACAAATGAACTTGGTTTTCTTAATAATCTTGTAGTGTTGAAATAAATTAC